CCCCCCCACACACACCAAACGCCCCCACACACACACACGCGCGCCCACACACACACACACACACACACAGAGTCATGCTTTTTTTGAGCGTACAGCGAATATGACAACATACCCGCACATCAGCAATCAGAAAAAAAATGAAAAAAAAAAGTTTTCTTTTTTTATCGTGTTTCTTTTGATTTTAATACTTGTTTTTTTCGTTTTCTATCTTTTAAAAATTCCAAAAAGCATCAAAATCCCCCCCCCAAAAAATATGGGGATGCAGGGAATTTCAAACCCTGCAACCCCATATATATATCGTCACAAACAGAACTGCCCGGTAAAACCGTAGGCAGAGAGAGAGAAGAGGACAACAAACGAGGGGCTGTGACAAACTGTTTCGTCGGAGTTTCACCGACTCATCAGGAGGCTGTATATATGTATATTTTGGCCTATTATTTTATTTTTAAAAAATTATGGGGTTCTTTGGCCACGGTTGGCCCCCGCGGTTGCCCCCCCGGGGCATGACCATGACCGCATGCGGTAAAATGGCACGTGGTCATGACTGCACGTGATACATAGCCCAATGTCACTGCCCTTCAAAAAAGGGTCAAAAAACAAAAACGTCACCACTTTTATTTGTGCAACAAATTGTCAGCAACTTCAACCTTCTGTGAGTCTGTGCTCTCAATGACAACCATGCTAATCTTCTCTCTGTGTATGGTTCCAATTTTAACAGATGTCCCTAAGGACAGTGTGCCCTGGTCCTCTAAGAATAGCACACTACCAAAAATCCAGTTGGTTTAGTGGGGAGTGAGTTTAAACCCACAGCCTCCCTAATAAACCCAGTTATTCGAAGATGTTAACAACTTAAGATGGTAAAAAATCATTCTAAAAAGGGGGCGAGCAAGCTGGGCTGGGCAAACCCAATCCAGCCTTAAACTGCGCCCGTTCGTCTAAAATAAACAAATCCAGCCGTGAACACTTGGCCCTTTTGTCCAAACAAAATGAAAACCCCAGCCTTGAACACTGGGCCCGTTTGTCTAAAATGGGGGCAACAACCAAGCTGGGCTCGGCGACGCACATCCATCCTTGAACACTGGGCCTATTTGTCCCACAAAAAAAATAAAAATAAAAAATCAATCAATCTAATTTCAGCTTTCAAGTACGCCCGCAACAAGTTATTAACAACAGCTGCTATCATAATGACAGACCATGCCGCCCAATGCATCCTTTTTAATCTCAGGCTCTCAGCAAATTTAAAGAGCCTTTGACAAATAGTTGACTATCATTTCTTTTGAACTATTACAAAGTTAATACAAACTTTCCGTTTTTCAATAACGATAGTCCTAATTTTAGACTATTGTCAATTGAGTCTATTCTAAAACTATTTCCTTCGTTAAACGTAACGAGGGACTACCAATTACTACTGTACAATAGCTAAAGCAAGAGCCAAAAGTACAATAGCTAAAACAAGAGCCAAAAGTACAATACCGAAAGCAAGAGCCAACAAACACAGCCCCCCACATGTACCTAACGTACAACAGCCTTTAGTTTTTTTTTTTTTGGGGGGGGGGGGGGGGGGCGCTGTAGGAAAAGAGAAAGAGGAACGCATTACAATGCGCAATGTGCAGGGCCGAGGGAGAACCGTCAGATTCTCGATCCTGTGAAGATGAGGAGGTGGGCCAGGTGGCCAGAAGAGGACTAGAGGAGAAGCCTGACAACAGTAGCAGATCTGACAGCCTGCAAAGCCTGACAACAGTAGCAGATCTGACAGCCTGCAGGTCCCTGCACAGCAACCAACTATCCAGGCATAAGTCAAACCATCAGTACCTTGCAAGATCCCAGGTAACCATCTTCTTGCAGTCGATCATGAACCTCAGGAGCAAGGGATGGTGAGGTGGACGAACGACGATTGCTCGTAACGGGTGCTGGAGCTGGTGGCACTTGTGAGTAGCATTGAGAACAGGAAGAGGGGGCAATCGGAAGGTAAAACACTTGCCGGTGAAGGATCAGGATCATGCTGTTGTTCTTCCTGATGATGATTGACATTCAGTGCAGGCCCAGTGGCTTAAGCCTTAAGCCAATCCCCAACCTTGCGTAATGGGTTTCTGAAACTAAGCAGCCATCTTCATTCTTACTTACCTCTCGTCAGCTCTCAAGATCATCGCCTTGAGGGGCACTCTCTCTCTCTCTCTCTCTCTCTCTCTCTCTCTCTCTCTCTCTCTCTCTCACACACACACACACACACACACACACACACACACACACACACACATATATACAATTAGTGAGTCTACAGAGGGGGACCCCCCTCTCTTTCCCCCCGCTAACCCTAAGCTTGCCCCCCACACCCCCCCCCTCCCACCTCTCTCTCTCTCTCTCTCTCTCTCTCTCCCCCCCCAAAAAAAAAGGCTGGGGAGGGGGGTAACTCAAAGAGGACATCCACGGAGCTCTGCAGTTTTCCCCTAAGATTCTCATCTTCTGATTTCTAAATGACTCTCTTCGAGTCTCATGGGAATCGTTAAAGATTTAGTCAGAGTTTGACACGTGTTCAAAACGAGATGAGACAAGACACCTTGCACGTGGCAACTTCCAAGGCCAGACTGTATCTCTGTCTGCATAGGATTCCTTTCGCTTCTTGAAGTCAGAGAGCTGTCGCAGTTCTGGGTCTCCTCTCAGCATCTCACTCACAAGGCATCAAGCTCAAAGGAGCTAACCAGCTCTGTATGATGAAGCACGGGGGCGTGAAACTCTGGGGTTGCCCAAGGGCCAAGTGACAAGTGTGGCAGGCTACTCACACAAAACATCTCCGACTTTTGGCAAAAGAAGGCCATGCCTGTGCACATGGCAGGCATGGCTAGACTTGATAACCTTGTACTAACTTACAACTCACCTGGTCCAGAGTTTGTGCTTAGTACGGAGTCTACGGACACCCAGATATCCACCCAGATATCCTCCTCGATTCACCTACCCGCTGACGGCTATCTTTAACCTCTCATCCACAGAGTCACCGGCTTTGGCTCTCCCCCTTGGGACTGAACATGCTAATTCCCGTTTTCCCCCTCAACTTTCCGCACCACATCCACCCAGACAGTACAGCCAATAAAAGTGAACATCCAGCTTAAAGGCGCCCCTTCCGCCCCCAATTCTATCACTTCCACTGATTGACACTGCAGTCGATCACTTGCAGGCTGAACATCCACCTTGCATTTTGCCCCCCGACGCAGCTTATCACTCCCACCCACTGACAACCCAGCTAATCAGGCAGCACCCCCTTCTTTCCAACCGACCCCCCACTAACGACCTCCAATTTGAAACCATGGTTGGACGAAGAAGCTCTGTCAAACTGTTCACTTCCCCCTGTCGCAGTAGCCATAGCCATCAAAAAATAGCCATAGCCATCAAAAAGCCATTATAGCCATCAAATAGCCATAGCCAGCAAAAAATACACATAGTACCCAGAAAGTAGCCGTAGACACCAAAAAGCCGTAGCCCCGAAATAGCGTTGACTCAGAGCAGCAAACAGTAGCAGGATACTAGCAGCCACCACATCTCAGAGTCAGTGCAGCCCCCTTCTGCCACGATCTTCCATTACTCGAGACCGTGTCAATAACCTGCACCAAGCCCATAGTTTGCCACCTCGCGGTGTGTCACAGTTAAAGCTTAATACTCATGGCAGGACGTCCTCAAACGATGATGATAGCAAGCAAGAGAGTTATAAAAGGTCATCACTCCATTTCCACTCCCACCTCCTTCCACTTCCTTCCCCCCCCCCCCCCCCCCCCCTCTCTCTCTCTCTCTCTCTCTCTCTCTCGCTCCCTCTCCCCCCCCCGCCTCCCCGAGGCTTGCTCCTGATGTTAGCGGGCTGTGTTTCCCATGATTATTGTTTTTTTGTGGCAAACAACTTCAACTTCTTGTGTTTGTTTGTTTGCTCAGTTATGGGACACCTCCCACACTTTGAAGTCCTGACCCTCGAGGACGCAGACCCACGTCTTGGTCTCATCGCATGGTGGATCGAAGTGCCCCGGTCCAATCTTCATACACACTTTTTCATCGATACAAGCACCATAAACCTCCTTCTCTGCCTTTTGGATGCGAACGACACTCCTGCAATGGATTCCCTGTCTGCGTCGCAGGGCCAGCAGAATCCTGATTGGCTCTTTCAGATGGTTGGCAAACCAGTGGTCATAGAAAACGGTGGGCGTTCCAGGATGTGTGAGGATATAAGCGTACCCCAGCATCTCTCTGCCCTGTGGGAAGCGCCAATGGCCCTGAGTGGACCCGCTGTCATGGTTTTCAATGAAGGTTACTGCCCGTGATGGCCACCAACCCACGACTCCCGGCGGCTTCCTCTCGCTGTCCGTTAATCTCCAGTACTCGCACTTCTCAATGGCCGTGTGCAAGATCCCTTTCGTCGTCACATCGAATGCCCCCGCGTTCCCCCCCGTCGCGTTCATCCAATCAATGATCCGCTGCCGATGTGCATCCTGGTTGTAGTCCATCTCGCCGTAGGTGTAACTGAGGGAGTCCCAGTACTCACCGACAGCAAACCAAGGGTTCGATCCCTCGATATACTCCTTGACATGACCCCCCCAGAATCCTCTGACAAAATCCAATCTCCACCCGTCGTAGCCAATCTCCATCCTCAGCCATTGCAACCATTCCGTGATGTCTTTGCGCACAAAGCCCTGCGAGTGGTCTATGTTTGGTGCGGCATGAAAGCTGTCGCCGCTGCTTCGATTCCCTGCACCGTCGAAATGAGCGTCGTCGCACACGATAGCTCGGTTGTCCCAAGCCAGTTTCCCACCAAACCGGTTCCACACGCCATTAGGCCCTTGGAAATGGGCACAGCGATGGTTGAGTACGGCATCCCCGAGGACCACCATGCCGACCTCATGCAGACGCTTTACTACCCTTTTAAGCGCCTCCATGTCGCCGTACTTCGAGTTAAGATCGTAGAGATCACGCGGCATGTAACCCTCTGGGGAGATGGAATCAGTAGGGGGTGGGAGCCAGATGGCCGTGAAACCCCCCGATGCAATATCGGCGGCTTGTTCCGCGATGATGTTGTACCACCTGCCTGTCTTATGGGACTCCCAATTAAATCCTTGAAGGAGTATTTCTTTCCCAGATCCGGTTCCTGGACACGGCTGCCGGTCAGGAACAGACAAAGGCAAAGGTAAAGGTAAGACATTCTGTGGACTAGTCAACGGCAAAGTAGTCGTTGGTTTGCTATCAGCCTGCTCCAGCTTTTGCTGTGATAAAGGCGCGGCTGGCGCAATTACTGTCGCCCGTCTGAAATTCTCGGAGGCCTCGGCAGCCAGCCGATCTATCTCTTGTAGCAGCTCCTCTGGACCTGGTCCGCTGGATGTAATCACTACTCGACTATTACTACTAACAGTACCTGCTGGGACTGCGCCTGTGCCCTTCGCACTTCGTGTGATCGCCGCTAAATTGACCTCCTCTTCTGCCACCTCAGTTGTCGAAGGAGAAGGAGAAGGAGAAGAAGGAGAAGGAGGAGAAGGAGGAGGAGAAGGAGGAGCAGGAGGTGCTATCGTTCCTGCGAAGTCCTCTCGTGTTGCTGAAGATGATGACACCACATTCGCTGCCGCAGGAGCGCCGTTCACACCGATCCCGCCTCCCTCGGCCATGTCTGCGATCGGGATCGGGAGAACCGGCTCCGCAACCTTGGCTTCTAGCCGTGCAATGTCGGTCTTCTTCCGATTCCGATCCCGATCCCGATCATCGGAGGCAGCGACCCCGCTGGTTGTTTGTCCGGGGGCCCCTGCTGCCGCACCTTCTTGACCACCACCATGATCCTTTGGCCCCTTTGCTGCCGGAAGGGGCATTGAAAAGTCCTCCCCCTCCGCATCGAACCACGTGTTGCTGTCCACCTCCTTGAGCACGAAACGCAACTCGGAAAAACCCCCGCCGACGTCCACCATGATCCAGCTCCCTTCCCCATCACCATCACACCCCTCGTCTCTCTTCATCACGGTCTGAACAGCCCTCTTCTTGTAGACAGTTGAGTTGGATGGCAAGAAGCGCTTCGCAGGGACAGTCCACTTGCTCTGCTCTTCTCCTCGCTTGACCAAACCCCAGTGGAGAAGGACGGGACCTGACAGGTCCGTTGACAACAACACCTTCACATCCCCTCCTTCAGCTAGGCCCACCATAGCCGAGAGACGATTGCCAATGTCCACCTCGTTCTCTAGATCGTGCGTTTCTTCCAGAAGACCGACGGCTCCGCCGTCGAGAAGACGAAGACCGCCCGCCGCATGAGCCGCCGCCGCCGGTGTTTTCCTCTCGTGCCGCTGCTCCAACAGGTCTGCCAAGTTGATGATGAAATTCCCACCCGCCTTGTCGTGCCATCTTCCTGTTTCTTCATCTTTGAGAACAAACGCAATGACCTCCGGTGCGCCCTCCTCGGCAATTTCAAGGTCAACTCCAACACGCCCGCCTCCATGCTCCTCGCCGCCGTCGGAGACGGCGCCATAGCAGCTGCGCAGAGGCGTCCGCGCAGCATAGTCCTTGTACTTCACAGTTCCAGGCGGTCGGATCTTCTTCGGTGGCTGAGTCCACTGCCTCCCCGCCTCCTCACGGGTGGTCACTCCCCAGTGCAGAAGGGCGCGATGGAGGACATCACACTCTACGGAGATGCGAATTCTGTGGAGGTTTTCCCACAACGCCACTTTCACCCAGAGCTTGCCACGTACCTTCACTCGTCGAGTAAGTGCGTAGTCCTTCTGGAGGGTGGTCTGAACCTGGTCGTCTCCCGGCCACTCGATCTGACTCTGACCTGCAGGCTGGGTGTCAGCGAGCGCGGAGAGAACAATCAGCAACCCGTCGGCGGCGGAGGCGGCGGAGGCGGCGGCGCGGGGGGAGGTGGAATGATCCCCGCCATCATCGCTATGACCTCCGCTTCGTGCACCCCCTACTCCTCTCAGTCTGCCACCCAAATGAGGTAGGGTCACGAGACCCCCTGACCCCTTCTCGCATACGGCAGCGAAATGAAGGTTGTTCGACCCGTACCTCTTGCTACCATTCCCCATGATGGCCTTCGAGTTCACCCTGCAGATCCCTGACCGACATACTCCAGCACCTCGACATTCAACGCTGCCGAGCGCCGCTACTCGGAGCCGCTGCCCGCGGATCCGGGGAATACTCCAATCCAAATCTCTTCGGCCTCTCCTTCCCAAGCCACACCACAGACCTTCGCCTTCAAGTTCTGCATGGAGTGGCTCCCACCGGTGCCACTCCTCATCCAAATGTCTTCGATCTCTCCTTCCCAAGCCACACCACACACCTTCGCCTTCAAGTTCTGCGTGGAGTGGCTCCCACCGGTGCCTCTCCTCTCAAAAAACACACCCGATTAGCCCCGATCGTCCGTCCGATCTGTCAACCTCGCTCGGCAGTGAAATAGCAGATCGGACGATCGTCACTAACCATAGGTAAAGTGAAAAGGGAGTCATCACAACATTGGCATCAAGTAACTCAGCATTAACTAAGCATTAACTAAGCATTAACTAAGCATTAACTAAGAATTAGCTAAGAATTAACTTTTTCCTTTCACTACTCCACACTGCTTTACCAACCTATGGTTAGTTCCGCAGTTCGTTGGGCTACCGTTTCAAGAACATCGCCACCAACGGACCCCCCAAAAGCCCCTTCCCATCCCCATCGACCCCGTCGGACTTCTCCTCCTCCAGAGAATGAAACCGATTCCCTTTGCCATCAAGCGCAGTGGGTGAACCGGCGACAATCGCATCGACCGCCACCGCCACCGCCACCGCCGCCGCCGCCGCCACGTCTGCACCGGGGCGGCAGCCAGGCGCAGCGAACGTCTCCTAATTTCTTTAAGTGTTGATTACGCAACGGATTCGATCCTGGGATCTGCTAACACCACAAGGTTAAAACAGTTACTCTCAATCCTGAAATCCTCCGTGGTTCCAACCCAGGAGCCTCGAAGTCATACCGCACTCATGCACCACAAATCGATTCTCACAAAATGATGGTGGAAAAGAGAGAGAGAGAGAGAGAGAGAGAGAGAGAGAGAGAAGAAGAGGAGGGAGACCGCGGTAAGTGAAAAGGAACGAGATGGGCGTTGGAATGCAACAGCCTCCGCCCACCCCATGGGGAATGCGATTGACAGTAGAAGAGCGAAATTCAATACCTCCGACTTGCGCAGAAAGCAGTACTATTAATGCCGATTTGTTGTGGTCAGGGACGGACAGGGGAAGGGCAGCCGCGCTCCACCGCCACAACAGCCGCGCTTACCGCACGCCACGTGCGGACAAGCCGTGGCCGCGGACTGCGACAGTCATTGGCTCACCCGCGCAGGGGCGCGGTGATGGCTAACACAGCCTGGCCACATGACACTGATGACAGCCTCCCGTAGACAGGACGCTCACACCAGAGGCAATCGATCTGGAAGAATCCTGCGCGAAGACCTGCTCACCTCTGCCAGCGCTGTCCCGGAATAGGCCATCTCACTTTGGGCCTGGCTCCACGAACACGAAACGACACGGCAAAAGAACGAGTGCATCTCATCCACCAAAATGGCAAGATTCAGGGCTTCGCCGCAACACTGTAGAAACGAAAAACGAACGAATGCATCTAACTGCGAAGAAGGGCAAAGACACATCCGTTACTATGAATAGCAATGGACGCATCTTACCACTTTCTGCAGCAGATGCGTTCGTTCTCTTTTCGTTTTTCGACAGTGGTGTGGGTGGCGAGGTCCTCATTCGTCACTATATGGGCGTGGGCGTCGCTCCACTACTCTCGACATGCACAAAGGACAAAAAACATGGCGGTGAATCTTTCCATGTTCTAGCACAAGATTCAATCTCGTTTCGCACATTTCGAGAAGAATATAGCTTAGTTTAAAAATACCAATTAAAACTGGACCGAGGCCCTAGGAATAGTAAAACGAATGAATCTAGTCATTCGATGCTATTTTTAGTAACGGATGAATCTTTCGAGTTTCTGTGGGAAGAGCCTCTTGGCTTCTGTCGTTTCGTTAGCCATGTGGCCAGGCCTTCGGTGGAGGCATGCCAAGGGACGGAGACCAGTGATTACCCCCGCGGTGTCAACAGTGTTTTTCCCTTTTTTTATTTAAAAAAAAAAGGCGACGGCCTTGAGATATCATCATTGAGCTTACCAGCCCCAGCAATTCCGAAATATTTGGTTTTAGGGCATGGTTCAACACCACTAGAGAACCCTACAGTCTTCCCCCGAATACAACGTACGGTCGTTATAGCTGAATTTGGTGTATCTTTTCAGTCTAAGGGCCTCGCCACACCACTCTTGAAGACTGTTTTTCAAGAGTTGCTGCATCGCCACACAGCCACTTGACACTTGGGGCAGTCAAGAGCTGTCAGAGTGGCTCTTGAAACCCTTTCAAGAGCAGCTCTGGAAAGAAAGGAAACCCCAGCCTGCAACTCGTGCATTTCCAAGCGTCCTTGCCCGAGCCCTTGAGGGACTCTCGATTTTCAAGAGTTGTCAGGCCGTTATCCTGACTCCATTCGAAAAAAACAAAGCTGTATGACTGTCGCCCTTTCGAGAGTGCTGTGTGGCGAGGGGCCGAAAACTCTTGAAGACCCAACTCTTGAGAACTTCTGACAGCTCTTGAAAATTTCCCCGTTTCGAGAGTGGTGTGGCGAGGCCCTAAATTCAGCTATAATGACCGTACGTTGTATTCGGGGGAAGACTGTAGAGTCTCAAGTGTGCCCTAACCCGAAAATCGTGATTAAAAACTACTTACTGCAATCTTCATTCCATGTGCACTTCACAAAATACTCGAAACGGCTGCACTTGAAACCGAACTCCAGGGCTTGACCAATCCTGGACCAGGATTGCCTTTTGGAAAAAAGAAAAAACAAGAAAAAGCCCCACTTGGAGTGCTGGCCGTATCTGCTGGCACTTGAACTCAAGGCTCCCCCGAGAGGTACCTTGAGCTGCGAATTTGCCCCCGCGGCACTTGAGTTTTGAGGGCTAGCACTAGAGTGTTGAGGCTAGCACTAGACTGTTGAGGGCTAGCACTAGAGAGCCGGAAAGTAGAAACAACTACGCGTCCAGGTTAGGGTTAGGGTTGGGTAGAACGAAGAATTTTCCTTCAACCCTTGAGTTCAAGTGGTGTAGAACCAGGCCCTTAGGGCCTCGCCACAGGCTGTCGAAATGTGCAAAACGAGAACGAACTTGCCGCTAGACCATGGCCAGATGCGCCTGGCACATTTTTGTCGTTTTCAAGTTTTCGAAAGCCTGTGTGGCGAGGCCCTTACTCATCAATTTCCATCGTCTGGATTTGAACACAGGTTTCAACAGTTCATGGGTGCACCCACTGAGGGCATACTCACACTAGCAGGTACAATCGCAAATTATATGTGAGCCAATTTGCGATTCTACGGCACTTCCCAGTCACACAGCACACCCGTATACGTCGCAAAACAGAAAGGACACAGTCTCTACCTGCTTTAGGAATGCAATTATACGGGCCGAGGGGTCACACAGCACGATGCATAAAAATCCATCCCTTTTCCCGTTTTTTTCTTTTCTTTTCTTACGAGAGCTGCCCACCAAACATCGATTTCTTTTTTTTTGGTTTCAGAAAGAACAAGGTCTCGTGAAAACGCGATACGTGGCCTGTGTGACCCAAAAAATCACCTATAATTTATGATTTTACAGACTAGTCTCTTCAGATTAACGAGTCTTTTCCCTTCTGGATCGTCCCTGTGTCAGTATGTCTGGAGCCATGACCAGTATGTTGCTCTCCATGACCAGCTGGGGCAAGGAGCCAGGGGGAGAAGCATAGCCTACCTTCTGCAGTAATGTTCACTAGTCTGGACTCCCTCCCCCAGGTGTCCCAAAACCATTTCCTGACTTCAGAGTACCTGCCTCTGTTTAGTCCGTGAAGCCAATCACTCCGAATCGTGATTCTTTTTTTTTTTTTTTTTTTTCGAGTCCAGGGTGTTGTAGAGGCCAGTCCGTGTGTGCACAGTGATCACCTGGGACTGTGAGCCGTGGATGTCCTGGAATATGAGACAACCTCCCAACCCATCCTCACGTCAATACTCCTAGCGCACCCGCTATCCCACTATTCTACCTCAGTGTGACCAGCACTCAGGACCATTGCCCTACCAACGGGCAGGCAACTTGGACCGAACAGCAGTGATAGGCACCAGGGCTGATAGATTGCCCAGCCCTGATGGAAGCGGAAGCAGACGAACCTTGTCCAACCGGAACTTCAGACGCCAGGCCCAGACAATGAACTACAGGCCCATATCTGTTGAGTAACTGTGTTCTTGATGGCATTGTCGGTTTTGAATTTCTTACGGAAAGTTTGCTGAGGTTCCAAAACTGGTCCAGCCACTTGGGCCTCCCTCTACTACTACTCAACACTCTATATGAATTGGGACACCTTTCTGCACCAGGTGTGTTTGGAGTGCAACATCTGGAATGTATAGGGACGGCTATGAGGACGAGATGCATATAGAGTTTCTCATAGTGGAGGGAGGACTCTGGTTCTCACAAATAGTTCAAAGGTGCCAGTGAACAGATGCAACAGCTGTCAGGTCAGATCTCCCTGCCAAGATGGTAGAAGGGAGGTGGTCCTGAGTGGTAGACACTGAGGGCATGCTCACATTAGCACATAAAACAGCAAACTTTGGGTTGGCTATTTTGGCTATTATAGGGCAGCACCGACTGGTCACACGGGTCTCCTCCATATAGCACAAAACAGAACAGGCACACCCACTACCAATCACCCAAATGTGGTGCAGCCACAACAGATGCAAGAACTGTCAGGTCAGGTCACCCTGCCACAATAGTAGAAGGGAGGTGGTACTGAGTGGTAGACACTGAGGGCATCCTCACACTAGCACATAAAACAGCAAATTTAGGGTTGGCTATTTCGCTATTATAGAGCACCGCCTGGTCACACAGGTCTTTTTTTTTTTTTTTTTTTTTTTTTTTTAAGAAAAAAAAGCTCTATTGGTGGGGAGCAGCACCTGCTGGAAACCGGGTCCAGCATCCCATAGATACAACCATATCCTCACAAATTGGCACCAACTGGGAACCGGGCCCAGCGTCCCATAACGAGTATGTTCAGATAAGTCATCAGAAAATT